TAAAATAAAAAAAATAAATAAATGTGTTGGATGAAAAAGTTGTAGGTCGGTTGCATCAAATTTTGTCACTCAAATGCTATCGATAACGACATTAAAATGTGACTGTGGGGCTAAATGTTCGGAATGGGTTGGTAGTCATTGAATTGATATACAGAATGAATCGGGGGTATGAAGAGCTCACACTCTAGCATACCCAAATTATTGTGTCGAATGTTTTTCGGTATGAATGTTTAAAGTTTTGTGACGGATGAATGTACGGTATTCCTAATCGTGTGTTATCGATCAAATATTTCCTTATTTATAGTAAGAACTTGTTTTTGGTTTATTTAATGGACCGATAACGTCTGTAGATGACGTTGAAAAATCTACAGAGGCAGTAATGCTTCTGAAGCATCTCGGAAGTTATGCAATGAAGCATGAGGTGGTCAGAGTTTAGATTGCTTTAGCAATCGGGAGAAGTGTTTCGGTGTCCGCCATGTACAAAAATTGCCTTCTGCATGATTCATAGGGATCACAAAGAGGCGGTATTGGGTTATATCTAGCTCATCATGTGGTTTAAAAAGTCCACCGTGGAATAGAGCCCATACGGAAGATGATCACGAAAAGAAATTCGTGACAGACGAACGAACATTCCAACATCGACTTCAATTCTTTAAAGATTCAGAAGATATATATTTTACAAAAGTGTATAGTAGATCCAGAGTCGATCTATTCAGAATATAAACCCAATTATATGTATGTGTGTTGAACGTAAGCTCCCAAAAGGTTACAATTTTTCCCAAATAGCAATTGATAAGATGTGCTTAGTATTAAAAATTGGTAATATCTATCTACTACTTGACCTAGACACCATTCAAAGGTCCCTACGGAAGACAGTTTAAACAGTCACACAATTTTGCACATGTCAGTTTTATATATCCAGATAATAAACTTATATACTTTATGTACATATATGCAAAACATTGGGCTATATTTTGTCCTAGTTCCGATACAAGTTCTCTTTTAGGAATTGATATTGAATTGATATTCGGGCTATTATACATATCATATTTTTAGCAATTTCTTCATGGGACCACGTTTCACAAGTCTTGGGACTAGTTCGTTTAAAAAATTTCAGGAAAATTGTCTTAAAACTCATTCACCATGTCTCTATTCTCTACCTTTGGAAAATTTCCTCTGTAATTCAAATTTACTCAAACTTCTTTCATTTAACAATTTACTTTAGAATTCTCTCGTTTTATTTTTATACAAAATGAAATCATTCCAATTAAAAGTATTCCAAACATGTTCTCTTTTTTTTTCTATCAAATCAATGCAACATTGTCGGTATGTCTGCCAAATTGTTCAGACCCCCTTGTTGTGTCTGTCGGTCCATTTGTCTGTGTTCTTTATTTTCTTACCGTTTATGTAGGTTAAATGTTTTTTTTTTTTTTATATCATTCTATTCTGTTCTTTTTTTTGTTTTGTTCATTACGTTCGTCATATAATTAAAATCTAAATAAAGTTCATAAAATAATCACCTTAAAAAGAAACAAGAAAAAAAAGTAACGTTTAAAATTAAACAACAACAACAAAAATTAACAACAATTTCTTTGTTTAATCACGTAATTAAAGAATGTCTTTTTTATGTATTTTGTGAGAATGTACATAAATTGAAGTTTTTTTTTTGTTTTTGTGTATATTTTTTTTTAATTAAAAATACAAATTTCCACAAATGGCACATGTGATTCATTCACATGTTTGCATTCAAATTGCTCATTTAACGAAACATTTATGATGACGGTTAAACTATATAGGTATTAAATTAAAATTAGTTTTGACTTAAAATATTGGAAAATATAAATGTGGAATAAAAACCTTTTTTTATTCTGTTTTTTAATTTAGTCATCCATCCATCTATTCATTTTTCTATTCATCCAACCAACCATCCATCCAACCATGCTTAATTATTTAACCGGTCATACCTCTATGAACTCAGTCGAATGGAGAATGACTGACTTAATGAATGAATGAATGTGTGAATATAAAGTCTTAATAATAATTTTGTTCAATTTATTGTACTCGTAATTATGAGGGTGCTAATAATTCTGTAGAGTGCTTTGATTAAATTGCAGATTGTTGTTGTTGTTGTTGTATTTTTTCATTTATGTAAAATATAGAACATGACGCCTTTATTACACCTAGAGGTCAGAGTTGTTAAAGAATGAGTTGATACGACTAGTCAGTAGACTAGTCCAGTGACTAGTCCATAGTATAATCAATAGACTACTTCATAGAATAGTCCATAGACTAGTCCATATACTAGATTGACTGGTATATGGACCAGTCCTTCGACTAGTCCATATACCAGTCAATAGACTAGCTAACAAACATGTTAATAGACTAGTAGACTATTTCATGGACTAGTGTATAGCCTAACTCATAGACTGATCATGGACAAGTCTGTAGACTAGTCCGTCGAATAGTTAGTGGAATAGTCCAAAAATTGGTTCGTAGACTAGTTCATCGACTAGTAATTAGACTGGTCAATAGACTAGTCCATAGTATAGCCAATGGATTAGTTCATAGAATAGCAATTAGAATAAAATTGCACATGGAATAGTTAATAGACTAGTTTATAGAATAGTCAATATATTAGTCCATAGAAAAATAAAAGTCTATAGACTAGATAATAGGCCTGTCTATAGCTGAGCCCCTAATCCTATTTCGACATACCATCATACTAACCTCAGACTTGTTCAGACTTCGATTTTTTATAATAATTTAATATGACTAGTCAGTAGACTAGTCCTGCTATTAGTTCTTAGTATAATCAATAGACTACATTATAGAATAGACTAGTTTATAGACTAGTCCATCGAATAGTCAATAGAATAGCTAATAAACTATTTAATAGACTAGTCCATAGACTAGCTAATAAACTTGTTAATAGAATAGTACATTGTATAATCAGTAAACTATTTAATGGACTAGTCCATAGACTAGTTTCTTAGCCTATCCCATAGACAGTCCATGGTCAAGTCAGTAGACTAGACCATCAAATGGTTAGTAAATAAGCTCATGGATTAGTTCGCAGACTGGTCAATAGGCTAATCAATAGGCTAGTCCATAATAAAGCCAATGGTCTTATCAATCTATTAGTCCATAGAATAAACAATAAACTAGATAATATGCCAGTCTATAGAATAATCCAAAGACTACTTTACTTCTTTTAAATTTTGATCAAATTTGTATCAAAATCCGTTGTCGTCGGAAGTACAATTTTAGATTATTATTTCAGTTAGATAAATAAATTTAAAATAGTACCAAATGGGTCATGGCTGTTGGATTAGGATGAGCACTTATTATCGGGCCTGTTGTACGCTCTTTTTCATGGAAAATGTTTGTTGGTAAAGACAAATATTCACTGAAGGTGGCTTCGTCCGATATTCAGAAACTCAGTTTCCTGTTTCACTTACAAGATATTTGAATCTAATTTCTACAAACGCCTGACAATGTCAATGAAAGTGCTCCAGAATTTCACTATCCTCTCTATATGCTCTGCATTCGTTTGAATCCGCACGTATAGCTGAGCCCCTAATCCTGTTTGTCCGTACCATCGGACTTGTTCATTTTGAGGAGACTTCAAGTCCTGCTCTAGTTAAAGTCACCCCATAAGATCTACCTACCGTTACATTATTTCAGAGGCCTTATGGGATTCTCTAAGCCATATTTTTAATTTAGTAACTACCTAGAGCTCCCTTCTCTTTAAAGTTGTCCACTACTACCGAAAGGCCTGGTATCCATATGATGTATTCAGTTAAAGCTCTCTTACAATCTAATACGGTCTTCGATTTAACTTTATCACACGATATCGCCCTAATTGCCTTCAGGGTGTCGGTAAATTTATTAACCCCTATGTATTAGCGCCATATATAATCAAATTTATGCATTCCGTTATTGCTCGGACTTCAGCTTGGAAGCTATAGATGTGATTAGGTAAACCGTAGTATATTTCTGTTTTTGAGTCTTCAGACCCATGTAGCAATGGATTCATACGGATATTAGCTCTAATGTTCGGCTTGACCATGACATTCTATCTGGGATCAGTGTTTCAAAGTTCCTGCGATCGGGCACGACCGATGATGGTGTATACAACCGCTTTTGGTCAGTTCACCTAAAGTTATAAGGTTATGGTTGTACTATTATACTTTTAACCAACAAAAGTACAACTGTACCAATTTCACCCACCTTGGTCCACATACTAATGAAGTTTCAACACTTACACATTTGTGAATTATACAGGAGCAATACCGTGACCCAACTTTTAAAATCGATTTGTACCGCTTTTTTTGAAAACAATGAAGAAATAGCTATCTGAACTCATTTGGACAATTTTTGCTAGGACCAATAAGTGAAAAGTTACACTCATTTGAATAAAACCCTGTATGACCAAAATGTCCAACTTTGACTCCCTCTAAGTCCGGCAGTTCTTGACTGATAGAGCTGAAAGTGTCTGTGTCTGGCCTATTATTCAATAGTACTAACCTTGGTGCAAATTTCATCCAAATAGATTTTTTGAGTTGGATCACTTGACACGATATCTTCTTTATTAGAAAAAGATAAATGTTCATAATCGACAAACTGAAGAATAGTTACATACACCGATTGTTAAAAATTTTATAGGTATTTGATTTTAGTGGATCGCGAGAAGTGTTTCTAAAAAGCTTTGTGTATATCTTCACACTTTTGTTTGTGTAGAGTTCCGTTCATAATTGGCTCTTGCACCTATTGACGTTCGACTTTTTGAATTAACTATAAAGCGCAAAAATATTGTGTTATTATCGGATTAAAATGAGTTTTCGTAAAATGTTAGGTCTTTCATGCTACATAGCAGTGTTATAAGATATATATAATCGGCATAACCATAAAATTTCGTAACTATTTCCACTTATTGATTTCGCAATATAAAATTTTATGTTATTATATATTAATGTATATTTTTTCTCTTTTTTTTTCAGATCAACTTCCATTTCTTTGTGTAAGTATTTGAAACTGAATACTGATGCCGATATCAAAACCTATTTTTATATTCATTCAGAATTTCTTAGCTTTGCTAGGAAATAATGAAAGTGCAGTTGGCAAAAATTAATTAATGATTTCATATCTTTTCTGTAGATGTAGATATCTTTAATCTATTCTTATTTTTTACCCTCATAAGTTAAGTAGCACACTCACACCTTAAAGTTGATCGATCGACTCAGAATCACTTCCAGGGTCCCTAATTTAGTTCCTATAGAGTTTTAATTGTTTTAAATGTTCTAACGGTCTTTTTATACCGTACAGTAGTGGAGAGGTACTGTCTGTAACACAAAAACCTAGTAACGCTCCCACACCTTAAAGTATATCGATCGACTCAGAATCAGTTCCAGAGTCTATAAGGCCTAACCGTATGTCTGTCCGGCTGACTGTTTTGTTCATGATATTTTGATGAAATTTCACTTACAAGGGCTTAAGAAGATAACTTTTAAAATGTTTGAACCGGTGCAATATTTTACCTAGTCCACATAAAACCGGACTTACTGATTTGAGCTTTTAAGCTTATAACTTCAAAAATTGACGCAACTAAGTTTTATGCAAGTGTAAATTACATTGACGATTTCTTGCCCCCAACTCCCATATATAAAACGACTTGAACATCCATAAATCCTTTATAATAGTATTTTCCTTAAAGTATTCAATAGACAGACAGTTAGACAGTTACTAACACATAGAAAAATATCGCCCCTAGATAAAGAGTTTATAATCTAGGTGCTCGTAAAATTATATAACTACCTAGACATGTCCATTTGGTTAAGGCAGAGGACAGGAGCTGAACGATTTTACCATAGCCCGGAATATATTTTAAAATATCGTAAACTTCAGGAATATCAATCCTCAACTGGACCTATCCTAAACAAAAACAATTTTTTTTCTGTGTGCGTATCTGATTATATTTATGTAGGTAAGTCATTATAAGAATACTTAAAACGAATGCAGATAGTAGGTAGTTCTCACTGACAAGTAAGTGGTGGTGTAAGTACAAATCATTACTGCTGAGTTTTTGCTGGGGATATAAAAATTAAAATTTTGTTATTATAAACCTAATAACATTAGAAATATTTCTAAATAGATTTATAACCTTTTATGTTAGTTTCCCCATTTAAATCAATCATACAAATATGGTAAAAATATTCGTTATCGCAAATCGTGATAAAATTTCAAAAACATTTAAAAGTTTGTAATTTTAAAAATACTATATATTCTATATATATGAAATCATTATTTTAAATATCTACAAAGTATAGATGTTAATTGAAAACCTGGTTAAACCTATTTATTTCATGGTTAGTTGAGTTATTATAAAGTGAACTTTGTGAATATGCAGAGATGGTCAGCAGAGATTATTTTAAAATATTTTTTCTAAAAGCGATTGAAAATAATGGATAATAATTAGTAATAGATAGCGTAATGTAGCTAAAATAAATGTTTTCCCTAGCACTATATTCGGACAATCGATATAAAACAATTTTTAAAATCGAGTTTCATAATATTAAAACTTTCCTAATTCCATCTCTGTATAAATTTGAACTATTTTCATATTATTAAAACTACGTTAATTACACTATAGTACAACATGTGGTTGTTAGAAAATTGAAAAGAGCGCTCAAAACCAAAAAAAAAAAAAAAAAACAACTAAAAATAATGCCATCATACAAATTTAAAGCACATAATACAATATTCAAAATGTTTTAACCAACTTATACCGAAATTGTTTCATTTTCCCAAAAAAAAAAAAAAAGTAGGCTTAATAAAAGTTTTAGTATAAATTTTTAATTACATTTTGTAGAGAAAATAGCTTTTTAATACACAATCACTGACATACAACGAGTATCGAGAATATCAAATAAACTGCACACCACATGTGGTGTATCAAAAATGGATTATGGAAAAAATTATATAGATATATGTATAGTTACGTTAGTAAAATTTACATAAAGGATGGATAAAATTAATTAAATTTAACATGTCTATAAAAAAAAGTTAAAATAATTTAATACTAGACAAGATCTATTTGGAAAAATATATATAGCCCAGTGAACATAATGTTGGGAAAAATACCATAGAAACCCACTACCTTCTAAATACCCATGTATTTCTAAATCGAAAACAAGATATAGCCCAGACTATAGTCTAGTCTATAGTCTAGTCTATAGTCTAGTCTATAGTCTAGTCTATAGTCTAGTCTATAGTCTAGTCTATAGTCTAGTCTATAGTCTAGTCTATAGTCTAGTCTATAGTATAGTCTATAGTCTAGTCTATAGTCTAGTCTATAGTCTAGTCTATAGTCTAGTCTATAGTCTAGTCTATAGTCTAGTCTATAGTCTAGTCTATAGTCTAGTCTATAGTCTAGTCTATAGTCTAGTCTATAGTCTAGTCTATAGTCTAGTCTATAGTCTAGTCTATAGTCTAGTCTATAGTCTAGTCTATAGTCTAGTCTATAGTCTAGTCTATAGTCTAGTCTATAGTCTAGTCTATAGTCTAGTCTATAGTCTAGTCTATAGTCTAGTCTATAGTCTAGTCTATAGTCTAGTCTAGTATAGTCTATAGTCTAGTCTATAGTCTAGTCTATAGTCTAGTCTATAGTAGTCTATAGTCTAGTCTATAGTCTAGTCTATAGTCTAGTCTTAGTCTAGTCTATAGTCTAGTCTATAGTCTAGTCTCTTAGTCTATAGTCTAGTCTATAGTCTATAGTCTAGTCTATAGTCTAGTCTATAGTCTAGTCTATAGTCTAGTCTATAGTCTAGTCTATAGTCTAGTCTATAGTCTAGTCTATAGTCTAGTCTATAGTCTAGTATATAGTCTAGTCTATAGTCTAGTCTATAGTCTAGTCTATAGTCTAGTCTATAGTCTAGTCTATAGTCTAGTCTTAGTCTAGTCTATAGTCTAGTCTATAGTCTAGTCTAGTCTAGTCTATAGTCTATAGTCTAGTCTATAGTCTAGTCTATAGTCTAGTCTATAGTCTAGTCTATAGTCTAGTCTATAGTCTAGTCTATAGTCTAGTCTATAGTCTAGTCTATAGTCTAGTCTATAGTCTAGTCTATAGTCTAGTCTATAGTCTAGTCTATAGTCTAGTCTATAGTCTAGTCTATAGTCTAGTCCATAGTCTTGTCTATAGTCTAGTCTATAGTCTAGTCTATAGTCTAGTCTATAGTCTAGTCTATAGTCTAGTCTATAGTCTAGTCTATAGTCTAGTCTATAGTCTAGTCTATAGTCTAGTCTATAGTCTAGTCTAGTCTATAGTCTAGTCTATAGTCTAGTCTATAGTCTAGTCTATAGTCTAGTCTATAGTCTAGTCTATAGTCTAGTCTATAGTCTAGTCTATAGTCTAGTCTATAGTCTAGTCTATAGTCTAGTCTATAGTCTAGTCTATAGTCTAGTCTATAGTCTAGTATAGTCTAGTCTATAGTCTAGTCTATAGTCTATAGTCTAGTCTATAGTCTATAGTCTAGTCTATAGTCTAGTCTATAGTCTAGTCTATAGTCTAGTCTATAGTCTAGTTATGTCTAGTCTATAGTCTAGTCTATAGTCTAGTCTATAGTCTAGTCTATAGTCTAGTCTATAGTCTAGTCTATAGTCTAGTCTATAGTCTAGTCTATAGTCTAGTCTATAGTCTAGTCTATAGTCTAGTCTATAGTCTAGTCTATAGTCTAGTCTATAGTCCAGTCTATAGTCTAGTCTATAGTCCAGTCTATAGTCCAGTCTATAGTCTAGTCTATAGTCCAAGTCTATAGTCTAGTCTATAGTCTAGTCTATAGTGTAGTCTATAGTCCAGTCTATAGTCTAGTCTATAGTCTAGTCTATAGTCTAGTCTATAGTCTAGTCTATAGTCTAGTCTATAGTCTAGTCTATAGTCTAGTCTATAGGTCTAGTCTATAGTCCAGTCTATAGTCTAGTCTATAGTCTAGTCTATAGTCTAGTCTATAGTCTAGTCTATAGTCTAGTCTATAGTCTAGTCTATAGTCTAGTCTATAGTCTAGTCTATAGTCTAGTCTATAGTCTAGTCTATAGTCTAGTCTATAGTCTAGTCTATAGTCTAGTCTATAGTCTAGTCTATAGTCTAGTCTATAGTCTTGTCTAAAGTCTAGTCTATAGTCTAGTCTAAAGTCTAGTCTATAGCCTAGTCTATAGTCTAGTCTAGTCTATAGTCTAGTCTATAGTCTAGTCTAGTCTATAGTCTAGTCTAGTCTATAGTCTAGTCTAGTCTATAGTCTAGTCTATAGTCTAGTCTAGTCTAGTCTAGTCTATAGTCTAGTCTATAGTCTAGTCTAGTCTATAGTCTAGTCTATAGTCTAGTCTAGTCTATAGTCTAGTCTAGTCTATAGTCTAGTCTAGTCTAGTCTATAGTCTAGTCTATAGTCTAGTCTATAGTCTAGTCTATAGTCTAGTCTAAAGTCTAGTCTATAGCCTAGTCTATAGTCTAGTCTAGTCTATAGTCTAGTCTAGTCTATAGTCTAGTCTATAGTCTAGTCTAGTCTAGTCTATAGTCTAGTCTAGTCTAGTCTAGTCTAGTCTATATAGTCTATAGTCTAGTCTAGTCTAGTCTATAGTCTAGTCTATAGTCTAGTCTAAAGTCTAGTCTATAGTCTAGTCTAAAGTCTAGTCTATAGCCTAGTCTATAGTCTAGTCTAGTCTATAGTCTAGTCTAGTCTAGTCTAGTCTAGTCTAGTCTAGTCTAGTCTAGTCTATAGTCTAGTCTATAGTCTAGTCTATAGTCTAGTCTATAGTCTAGTCTATAGTCTAGTCTATAGTCTAGTCTATAGTCTAGTCTATAGTCTAGTCTATAGTCTAGTCTATAGTCTAGTCTATAGTCTAGTCTATAGTCTAGTCTATAGTCTAGTCTAAAGTCTAGTCTATAGTCTAGTCTAAAGTCTAGTCTATAGCCTAGTCTATAGTCTAGTCTAGTCTATAGTCTAGTCTAGTCTAGTAGTCTAGTCTAGT